TTTCTCCATCATGGTGTTATTTTATTGGATTGGCGTTGTTGCAGATTTTTTAGTCTTTCTCGGTCACTTCCAGCACTGAATCAGTCTTGGAATCATACTTCAGAACTAAAGAATCCCCAATCTAAAAATGAGTTTTCTCAACCCATTTGTTGAACTCGTCAATAGAAGATGGAACTGCCCATAAATTATTTTCACCGCCTACTACGAACTCTCTTACTTTAGAAAGAACACATAGCAAAAACACGACGATCGAAAATAAGAAAATATTTTTGAGTGTAGCCATTTTAAGCGAAAAACCAAAAGATTTTTAAATAAGATTTGAGTAATTTTGTAGACAATAGAATAGAAAGGATCAAGGTTTAGGGTTCAGGGTCCCGGGTCTAGGGTTCAGGGTTCAGCGTCCAAAGTTCAGGGTTCACGGTCTAGGGTTCGGGTTTCAGGGTTTAGGTTTAGGGCTTAGGGCTTAAGGCTTATGGTTTGGGGTTTAGGGTTTAGGGTTTCTGGTACACGGTGTGCAGGACAGTCCAGGACATTGGCTTATTTTCAGGCATTCCTAGGCAGTTTCTGGAACACAATGTGCATCCCATGTCCAGGACCCGTCCTAGCTGCGGCAGGGACGTAGCTTGATTTCTAGGCATTTCTAGGCAGTTCACGGGACACGGTGTGCAGGCCATGTCCATGTTACGGCAGGCACCCAACCTGATTTTCAAGTATTTCTAGGCAGTTTTTGGGACACATTGTACAGGCCATGTTAGGAACATGGCATGAACGTAGCATGATTTTTAGGCACTTCTAAGCACGATGTGTAGGACATGTCAGGGATGCATCCTGGCTGTGGTAAGGACATAGCCTGATTTTCAGGTATTTCATGGCAATTTTTGGGCAAAGTGTGCATGCCGTGTCTGGGACGTGTCCTGGCTGTGGTAGGGATGCAGCCTAATTTTCAGGCATTTCTAGGCAATTTCTAGGACTCGATGTGTAGGCTACGTTCGAGAAGCGACATGGCCAAGGTAGGGACACTGCTTGATTTTCAGGCATTTATGGGTAGTTTTTGGGCATTGTGTGCAGGCCATGTCTCGGACGCGTCCTGTCGCGACTGGGACATAGCCTGATTTTCACTCATTTCTAGGCAATTTTTGGGTCACAGTGTGCAAGCCATGTCCAGGATGCCGCAGGGATGTATCTTTATTTTCATGTATTTCTATGCAGTTTTCTAGGGTACGGTGTGCAGGCATTGTCCTGGACGCGTTAGGGCCGCGACAGGTATGCAACCTGATTTCCAAGCATTCTTAGGCAGTTTCTAGGACACAGTGTGAAGGTTGTGTCCAGGAGCATATGGGATGGAGCTTCATTTTCAGGCGTTTCTAGGTAGTTTCTACGACACGGTGTGCAGGCCATGACCGGGATGCGTCCATGCCACAGCAGGGACGTGGCCTAATTTTCAGTCATTTTTGGGAAGTTTTTGGGCACTGTGTATAGACCACGTCCAGGACGCCTCCTTGCCGCAGTAGGGGGTACAGCCTGATTTTCAGGCATTTGTAGGTAATTTGTGGGTATGGTGTGCAGGCCATGATCGGGACGCGTCCAGGCCACAGCAGGGACGCAACCTGATTTTCTAGCATTTCTTGACAATTTCTGGGACTTGATGTGCAGGCCATGTCCGGGATGCGTCATGGCCACGACAGGGACGGAGACTGATTTTTAGGCCTTTTTTGCAGTTTCTGGGTCACGATGTGCAGGCTATCTCCAGGATGCGACAGGGACGTTTCCTGAGTTTCTGGTATTTTTTGGCAGTTTCTGGAACACGGTGTGCAAGCAATGTTCGGGACGCGTCTGGGCCATGACAGGGATGCAGCCTGGTTTCCAAGCATTTCTAGGCAATTTTTGGGACACGATGTGCAGGCCATGTCTAGGTTGCTACAGGGATACATCCTGATTTTCACGTACTTCTACACAATTTCTTGGACGCGATGTCCAGGTAGTGTCCAAGATGCGTCAGGGCTGCTGCAGGGATGCAACCTGATTTTCAGACATTTCTAGGTAGTTTTTGCGACATGGAGTGCATGCCATGTCTAGGACGCGACAAAGACATAACCGATTTTCAAGCATTTTTGGGCAGTTTCTGGACACGATGTGCAGGCCATGTCTAGGATGCTACAGGGACACGTCTGATTTTCACGTTTTTCTAGCCAGTTTCTTGGACACAAGGTAATTTTTGGGACATGGTATGCAGGCCATGTCCAGGACGCATCCTGATTTTTAGGCATTTCTAGGCAGTTTCTGGGACACTATGTACAGGCCATGTCCAGGACGCTTCCGGGCCACACCAAGGACGAAACCTAATTTTCAGGCATTTCTAGGAAGTTTTTGGGCACAGTGTGCAGGCCATGTCCTAGACGCAGCCTGATTTTCAGGTATATCTTGTCAGTTTCCAGGTCACGTTGTGCAGGTCATGTTCGTGATGCGTCCGGGCTACGGTAGGGACGGAGCCTAATTTTCAGGTAATCCTGGGCAGCTTCTGGGCACGGTATAAAGGCCATGTACGGGGATGCCTCCTGGCCAGGCAGGGATGGGTCCTGATTTTTAGGCATTTCTGGGAAGTTTTTGGGCACGGTGTACTGGCCATGTCCTAGACGTAGCTCGATTTTCAAGCATTTCTCGTTAGTTTTTGCGTCACAGTGTACAGGTCATGTCCAAGACGCGTCCGAGCCATGGCAGGGACAGAGCCTGATTTTTAGGTAATTTTGGGTAATTTCTGGGTACGGTGAACAAGCCATGTCCGGGATGTATCCTGACCTGGTAGGGATACAGCCTGATTTTCAAGCATTTTAGGGAGATTTTGGGCATGGTGTGCAAACCATGTCCTAGACACAGCCTGATTTTTAGGCATTTCTTGTTAGTTTCTAGGTCACGATATGCAGGCCATGTCCGAGACGCGTCCTGGCCAGGGCAGGGACGGAGCTTGATTTTTAGGCAATTTCGGGCAATTGTTGGGCATGATGTACCGGCCATGTCCGGGACGCCCCCTAGCCAGGTAGGGACGCAGCCTGATTTTCAGGCATTTCTAGATAATTTGTGGGAATGGTGTGCTAGCCAAGTCCGGGATGCATCCTGACCGCGGCAGGGATGCCGCCTGATTTTCAGGCTTGTCTATGCAATTTTTGGGACTCGGTGTGTAGGCCAAGTCCGAGATGCGTCATGGCCATGGCAAGGACGTTGCCTGATTTTCTCTGTCATTGTGTGATTTTATTGGATTAGCGTTGCTGCAGATTTTGTAGTCTTCCTCGTTCACTTCCAGCACTGAATGAGTCTTGGAATTATACTTCAGAACTAAAGAATCCCCAATCTGAAAATGAGTTTTCTTAGCCCATTTGTTGAACTCGTCAACAGAAGATGGAACTGCCCATAAATTATTTTCACAGCCCACTACGAACTCTCTTACTTCAGAAAGAACACACAGGAAAAATATGATGATTGAAAATAAGAAACTATTTTTGAGTGATGCAATTTTAACACGGTATGCAAGCAATGTCCATGACGCGTCTGAGCCGCAGTAGGGATGGAACCTGATTTCCAGGCATTTCTAGGTAGTTTTTAGGATACGGTGTGCAGGTCATGTCTAGGACGAGTCAGGGACGCAACCAGATTTTTAGGTATTTCTAGGCAATTTTCTTGGACATGGTGTGCAGGCCATGACTAGGATGCGTTCGGCCGCGACAATGACGTAACCTGATTTTCAGGCATTTCTGGGAAGTTTTTGGGCACGGTGTACAAGCCACGTCCAGGATGCGTCCTAGTTGCCGTAGGGACGCAGCCTGATTTCCAACCATTTGTAGGTAATTTCTGGGACTCGGAATGCAGTCCATGTTCGGGCCTCATCTAGGTCGCGGTAGGATATAGTCTGGTTTCCAGGCATTTCTAGGCAATTTGGGGGGCACGGTGCAGGCCATGTCCAGGATGCTACATGGACACATCCTAATTTTCACGTATTTCTATGCATTTTCTTGGACACGTTGTGCAGGCAATGTTCGGGATGTGGTCAGGGCTACTGCAGGGATACAACCTGATTTCTAGGCATTAGGGGGTAGTTTCTGGGACACGGTGTGCAAGCCATGTCCAAGATGTGGTAGGGATGCAGCCTGATTTTCAAGCATTTTTAGGCAGTTTTTGGGATACGGTGTGCAAGCCAAGTTCGGGGTGCATCCGGGCCATGACGGGGTCGCAGCCTGATTTTCAATCATTTTTGAGAAGTTTTTGGGCATGGTGTGCAAGCCTTGTCCTAGACACAACCTGATTTTTAGTCATTTCTCGTTAGCTTCTAGGTCATAGTGTGTAGGTCATGTCAAGGATGCGTTAGGGCCATAGCAGGGACGGAGCTTGATTTTCAAGAAATTATGGCTAGTTTCTAGGGATGGTGAACAGGCTATGTCCAGGACGCCTCCTGGCTAGGTAGGGATGCAGCCTGATTTCCAGGCATTTCTAGGCAGCTTGTGGACATGGTGTGTTGCCCAAGTTCGAGATGCATCCTGGCCGCGACAGAGACGTAGCCTGATTTTCAGGCATTTCTATGCAATTTCTGGGACTTGGTGCGCAGGCCAAGTTCGGGATGCGTCATGGCCACGGCAGGGACGCAGTCTAATTTTCGGGCATTTCTAGGTAGATTTTGGGTCATAGGGTTTAGGGTTTAGGGTTTTTCTTCAATTAATTTTGAATTAAAAGTAGGAAATATACGTGATAAAGAATAATAAAAATAAATGTAGCTTAACGTTACAACCCATGAATAATAAAATTAGTCTACACAACGAAACCAAACTTCCCACCGTCGCAGTGCCACAAATAAACCCCACCGCCGCCTTTAAACCAGTAACACCATTAGTCGGGGCTGGCGCCAGTGCATGGTAGTGGTGACGGTGATGATGAGGAGAAGGTGCTTGAGCTGTAGATTGGTTACTGGAGCCATTTTTATTGGAAATAACCATAACCTCTAGCTTTTGACCCTTCTAGCAATGTTCTTCAGCTCCACTGATAAAGAAAAATAGACCTAATTTTTCTAGTGAAATTGTAGTTTCTCCACCATGGTGTGATTTTATTGGATTTGCATTTTTGTAGATTTTGTAGTCTTCCTTGGTCACTTCCAGCACTGAGTCAATCTTGGAATCATACTTCAGAACTAAAGAATCCCCAATCTGAAAATGAGTTTTCTTAGCCCATTTGTTGAACTCGTCGACAGAAAATGAAACTGCCCATAAATTATTTTCACCGTCTATTACAAGCTATCTTGCTTCAGAACGAACGCACAACAAAAACATGACAGGCGAAAATGAAAAAATAATTTTAAGTGAAGCCATTTTAATAGGGTGTGCAGGCAATATACATGACGCGTCAGGGCCGCGGCAGAGATGCAACCTGATTTCCAGGCATTTCTAGGCAGTTTCTTAGACACAGTGTGCAGGCCATGTCCAGGACGCATCAAAGATGCAGCCTAATTTTAAGGCATTTCTAGGCAATTTTCGGGACACGATGTGCAGGCCATGACCGAAATGCATCCGGGCCACGGCAGGGACGCAGCCTGATTTTCAGGCATTTTTGGCTAGTTTTTTGGCCACGGTGTGCAAGCCACATTTCGGATGCCTCCTAGCCGTGGTAGGGACACAGCCTGATTTTTAGGCATTTGTAGGCAGTTTGTGGGCACGGTGTGCCGACCATGTCTAGGACGTGTCCTGGCCGCGACAGGGACACAGCCTGATTTTCAGGCATTTCTTGGCAAATTTTGGGACTTGGTGTGAAGTCCATGTCTGGGATGAGTCATGGCCATGATAGGGACGAAGCCTGATTTTCAAGCAATTTTAGGCAATTTTGGGGACACCGTGTGCAGGCCTTATCTAGGATGCGACAGGGACGTATCTTGACTTCCAGGTATTTTTAGGCAATTTCTGGAACAGGTGTGCAGGCGATGTCCGGGACGCGTCTAGGCCGCGACAAGGATGCAGCCTGGTTTTCAGGCATTTCTAGGGAATTTCTGGGACACTCTGTACAGGCCATGTCCAGAATGCTGCGGGGCTACTGCATGGATGCAACCTGATTTCCAGGCATTTGTAGGTAGTTTCTGGGACACAGTGTGTAGGCCATGTCCAGGATATGGCAGGGACACAGGCCATGTCCAGGACGCGTCATGGACACAGTGTGCAGGCAATGTGTCTACGAAATTAAATACCATTCTTATAGCACCTTACAAGTTTATGAGGCTTGACTTATTGCTAAAGGATTTATACAAAGGGGAGGGATCGAAATTGAGGGCTTCATCATATGAATGTCTATAATTGAAGTATTGGTGATAGAGTTGCTGTTAACCCAATGTACCACGAATGAAGAAAATACATTGAGTTGGATTACCACACAGTACAAGAAAAAAAAATTTAATTGGGGAAATTGAGATAATCTACAATGAAATGGGACAACAAATAGGTGGTTATTTACAAAATCACTGGAATAAGTTGTTTTTCACTGACAACTTAGAAAATTTTGAGTTCTTGACATTCACACTCTAACTTTAGAGAAGTATTGAAGGAAAGGAAATCACTTTATATTATGATCAAGGAATATATGCATAGTGCATAGCTGTGGTTTTGAATAATTGTGTGCAAGACATCTAGCAATTATGTCTTAAAGCAATTATAAGAATTCTTGTTATAATTGGCAATTTGTGAGAGAACACTTACTTTCGAAGCTACTGTTAACAAAAATACTTTTCTAGTAGAAGAGTGTTACATTCCGTTTTGACTCGGCTACTGAGAAACTTGAACATAAAAATATAATAGATTATTAATATATTATTGGATGATAGCAAAAAAGTCAAAATAATTAACAACATCATCGCTAAGACATACAATGAACCCTCTACAAAATTCAAGAAATGAATTAGCATTCCCATGACTATTTATAGTTTTTTTCCATTTTTCTTTCTATTTTTTAAAATATTTTACTAAAAAATTACTTAAAACTAACTTCTTTTGCTTGCAAAAATAAAGTCTAGCCAAACAATAATTTTTTTTTAACTAAAACATAAAATGAAAAATAGATACTTACTATGTTGAAAGGCAATGACAATAATTGAAATCCCAGTAGGAAATGTGTCCTCATTTCTTACCTAGTGGCTGGTGAATCAACGCTTCTTCTTGAGCTGGAAATATAATATCATTTCAAGTTAATTTGAATGTTATATTTTATACAACATTTAAAAAATAGAATGCGAATATATTTTACTGAATAAAAAAATCCATGAAATAATTTTTCATAATTTTAAATCAAATGTAATCTTCTATTTTAAGAAATAGTATTTCAGAATGAAAAACCAAAATCATTTTCTATTTTAAACTTAAAATTGAAAATTCAAAGAGGAAACCGAATTAGCCCATGCTTAGTTCTCGGTTTCTGAATGTTGGAAATTAAACATGATTCATGAATAATGAAAAAAATTAAATTTGATACATGAATTAGTTTATTTAATATTCATGCATTTATTTAAATCATGTATCCAAATGATTCTTTGTATCATATTATTCATAGTATGTAGGAAAAGTCATTAATTAGTCTATTAAGTTCATACAATGTATTTGGGATCCTTTATACCTATAAAAGGCCTTGTGTTTGAGACATTTTATAAAGCCAAGCCATGGAATACAAATATTTTTTGAGAATTCTGAGAATTTTTCTATCTAGTCTTTAGGGTTACGTTCTGAGAATTTTTCTATCTAGTCTTTAGGGTTTCGGGTTTGGGGTTTTTAAGGGTTTGGGGGGTTTTTTTTTTTTTTTTTGGGGAAAATACCACTAGTGTGGCTTATTTTGTAATATAGGAAATGAGAATACACAAAAAGGAGGGAGACATAAACCTGACCTCCTGTAAGTGAAAAAAATTACAAATGTCTCAAATGAAGCGCAAATTATATTAAACAAAATGTGTCTAAAAAACTAGTGAATAATACTCAAGGGTATTCCCTAGGATAAATCTTTGGGTGATAGTACATAGACATCGTTCGTGTCATACGTCTGGTTTGCAATTTCTGGGACACAGTGTGCAGACCATGTTCGGGACACGTCCTGCTGCGGCAGGGACGCAACCTGATTTTCAGGAATTTTTAGGCAGTTTGTGGGCACCGTTTGTAAGCCACGTCTGGGACTCGTCCTGGCCGCGGTAGGGACACAACCTTATTTTCAGGCATTTCTAGGCAATTTGTGGGCACAGTATGCAAGCAATGTTCGGGACGCTTCCCGGCCACGTTATGGACGCAAGTATATTTTCCACCAAATGAAGGAAGCACAGTGTGTAGGTCATGTCAAGGGCGCAAGCACGTTCACAAGCATTCTGGGCAGTTTCTGGGACACGGTGTACATGCCATATTCAGGATAAGTCATGGTCACGACAGGGACGCAGCCTGATTTTCAGGCATTTTTGGACAGTTTCTAGGCACTGTGTTCAGGCCATGTCTGGGATGTAGCCTGATTTTCAGGCATTTTAAGGTAGTTTCTAGGTTACGGTGTGTAGGCCATGTCCAGGACGTGTCCGAGCACAGGAAGGATAGAGCTTGATTTTCAAGCATTTCAGGGCTGTTTTTTGGGACGATGTACAAGCCATGTCCGGGAAGCGTCCTAATCGCGACAAAAATGCAACTTGATTTCTAGGCATATCTAGACGATTTTTGGGACATGTTGTGTAGGCAATGTCCAGGATACTGTAGGGACACCGCCTGATTTTTAGGCATTTATGGGTAGTTTTGGGCACTATGTGCTGGCCATGTCCGGGATGCACACAGCCTGATTTTCAATCATTTCTAGGCAGTTTTTGAGTCACAGTGTGTAGGCCATGTCCAGGATGCTACAGGGACGCATCCTAATTTTCACGTATAGAAAATATACATTTTCTTGGACATGGTGTGCAGGCAATGTTCGGGAGGCGTCAGGGCTACTGCAAGGATGCAACTTGATCTCCAGGCATTTGTGGGTAGTTTCTGGGACACGGTGTGTGGGCCATGTCCTGGATGTAGAAAGGACGCAGCCTGATTTTCAAACATTCTAGGCAGTTTTTGGGATACGGTGTGAACGCCATGTCCGGGATGCAATCGGGCAACGGTGGGGTCGAAGCCTGATTTTCAAGCATTTTTTAGAAGTTTTTGGGCCCGGTGTGCAAGCCTTGTCCTAGACGCAGCCAGATTTTCAGGCATTTTTCGTTAGTTTCTGGGTTATGGTGCGCAGGTCATGTCAAGGACGCGTTAGGGCCACGGCAGGGATGGAGCTTGATTTTCAGGTAATTCTGGGTAGTTTCTGGGGATGGTGTGCAAGCCATGTCCGGGATGCCTCCTGGCCAGGTAGGGACGCAGCCTGATTTTCAGGTATTTCTAGGCAGTTTGTGGACACGGTGTGTTGGCCGAGTTCAGGACGCATCCTGGCCGCGACAGAGATGCAGCCTGATTTTCACGCATTTCTTGACAATTTCTGGGACTTGGTGTGCAGGCCGAGTCTGGGACGCGTCATGGCCATGGCAGGGACGCAGTCTAATTTTCAGGCATTTCTAGGCAGATTCTAGGTCATAGGCTTTAGGGTTTAGGTTTTTTCTTCAATTAATTTTGAATTAAAAGCAGGAAATATAGACGTGACAAAGAATAATAAAAATAAAATGTAGCTCAATGTTACAACCAAGAATAATAAAATTAGTCTACACAATGAAACCAAACTTCCCATCGTCACAGTAACACAAAAAAATCCCACCGTCGCCTTTAGACCAGTACCACCGTTAGTCGGGGCTGGCCCCAGTGTATGGTAGTGGTGACGGTGATGATGAGGAGAAGGTGCATGTGCTGTAGATTGGTGGCTGGAGCCATGTTTATTGGACAGAACCATAACCTCAAGCTTTTGACCCTTCTAGCAATGTTCTTCAGCTCCACTGATGAAGAAAAATAGACCTGATTTTTCTAGTGAAATTGTAGTTTCTCCATCATGGTGTAATTTTATTGGATTGGCATTGTTGCAGATTTCGTAGTTTCCTCGATCACTTCCAGCACTGAATCAGTCTTCGAATCATACTTCAGAACTAAAGAATCCCTAATCTGAAAAATGAGTTTTCTCAGCCCATTTGTTGAACTCGTCAACAGAAAATGAAATTGCCAATAAATTATTTTCACCATTTATTACAAACTCTCTTGCTTCAGAACGAACACACAACAAAAAACGACGGTTGAAAATAAAAAAATAATTTTGAGTGAAGCCATTTTAACACGGTGTGCAGGCAATGTTCGGGATGCGACAAGGATGCAACCTGATTTCTAGGCAATTTTCTTGGACATAGTGTGCAGGCCATGTCAGGCGCGTCAGGTACGCAGCCTGATTTTAAGGCATTTCTAGGTAGTTTCTGGAACACGGTGTGCAGGCCATGATCGGGATGCGCTTGGGCAACGACAAGGACATATGCTGATTTTCTGGCATTTTTGGTAAGTTTTTGGCCACGATGTGCAGGCCACGTCAGGGACGCCTCCTAGCCGCTGTAGGGACACAGTCAGATTTTTTTGGCATTTGTAGGCAGTTTGTGGGCACGGTGTGCCGACCATGTTCGGGACGCGTCCTGGCCGCGATAGGGACGTAGCTTGATTTTCAGGCATTTCTTGGCAAATTTTAGGACTCGGTGTGTAGTCCATGTCCGGGACGCGTCAAGGCCACGGCAGGGACGAAGACTGATTTTCAAGCAATTTTAGGCAGTTTCTAGGACACCGTGTGCAAACTTTGTCTAGGATGCGACAGGGATG